ATTTTGGAATGTAATTGAGAAAAACATTAAACCATATTATTGGTTCCAAAACCATACCGACAAATTATGATAGCCAAAACAAAGCAGTAATTGAGGAAATCAATTTCATTATGTCCCTTCCATTATTTTATACTTCTAAACATAATGAAATCCTTTTAAAATAATCTCTAAGTCTCCAAATAACATTAAAAATATCTGAATTATTCTCAAGTACAAGAAACATAATATTGTTTATTTAATTATGATTTGTTAATATAAGGCATTCCCATTTTTTAAAGTTCTTGGGACTTTATTTTGTGTTCATATCTCTTAACCACACTCTTTAATTGTCTATTAAGAAACAATATAGTTTTGAAATAATATAAAACATGTTTCAATGCTGATAATAATTCAAAAGTTTTGGATTCAGTGGCTCCTGTTCAATTCATCTTTTTTTTCTCCCTTTCATGGTCTGATTTGTCTGCAAGCCAATTCACAGGCTCTGATTTAATTTTAAAGGGCTACACCTTATTCACAAGAAAGAATGCTTACTGATGGAATCAACACAAAAACAAAACTAAATCCTTTCAAATATTAATGCTTTTCCCCAATTCATACCTCTTCCTAAAATAAAAAAGAAAAGATTTAGCTTTTCAAGCATACTAGAATTTGTATCCCCAACACCTACTAATATTTTAGAATTCAAATAAATAGAACGTCTGAGGTGCAGTTAGTTTCCTTTCTTCTCCTGATGACCCATCCATGAAGCAGCAAAATTATGACATGAACATACAATAAGCAAATTAACACACTAATAAACTGGATGTTGAAAATGTTTATAAAATTTAGTATTACTATTCTGTTGCAGATGCAATGGCATGGTTACACCAATATATAGAATAAATATGAATATAGAAAAGTAGGAAATATTAGCCTTGCACTGTTACAGCTCTTATACAAAGGTTGTTAGAAGGGAAAAAATAAAGCCAAATATCTTCCATTGTTCAAATCTTCCATTATTCAAAACAATTTCCCTAATCGTTCCCTCCCTTGTCACTGACATTTTCAATACAATTTCCCTTCTAAAACAAACATTGCACATGGAAAATAATATGACACCCAATTATGGTTTTAGCCACATATTGTCAAATAACTGGTGAAACTAGTAAAAAAAAAAAAAAACTCCTCTTCCAAATATTGAATGCTGCTTAGAATCAGTGGCAATATCCAAACAACTCCTTGATTTTAATCAAGCCTAGAAACAGAAAAAAGTTCAAGACATTTGAATTAATACTTGTGAAGCCTATAAAACTTCTCTATCTATAAAAAATTTGGAAAGACCAAATTTGGAAAACATGCTAAACATCCAAAACAAGAATGTTGGCCTTTAGTAGATAAACTTACACACACACACACACACACACACACACACACACACACACACACACCATTTAAGCCACAAAGAACAAGCAAATAAATTGTAATATATTACTTGTAAGAACAGTTAAGTAGCAGCTTCTTTCTGACTTTTGTCTGGTTTTGGAAGCTAAGCAGTGAGAAATGAGAGACCAACAAGGAAAAGGCTGCCTTTGAACTGCCAGACTATAAAAACCACCCTAGAAGAAAGCAAAGAGCGTGCCAAGTAAACTGCATGACTCTGTCCATGTAGTCACTGGGAAATCAATTTGACTTTCCATTGTATATCTCACTATTCCATGGAAAATGGAAGAAAGGTAGATTTTTGATCAGTACTTCATCCTTTTTCTATCATGAAACTTTTTCCCCATTTAGTAGTAGTTACTAGAGGTTGGGTGGCCCAGATCAGGGCAATGAGTGAGGGCCCTGGCTTAAAGCCCTACATGGCATCGGACCTGGGTACCTGAGAGACCGCCTCCTGCCAATTACCTCCCTCAGACCGATAAGATCTCACAAGTTAGGTCTCCTCCGAGTTCCATCTGCCAGCCAATGTCGGCTGGTGACTCCCCGGGGGAGAGCCTTCTCTGTTGCAGCTCCAGCCCTCTGGAATGACCTCCCCGTGGAGATCCGGACCCTTACTACCCTCCTGGCTTTCCGCAAAGCCACCAAGTCCTGGCTGCTCCAGCAGGCCGGGGGGCTTGTGAAACACCCAGCCCCACGGAAATTGTGAATGTTGCGTCTTTTTTTTAAAGTGTTGTCTTGTCTATTTATCCCCTTTCCCTTGTCTGTTGTGAGCCGCCCGGAGTCCTCTGGGAGTGGGCGGCATACAAGACAAATAAAATGAATGAAAATGAAAAATGAAATTAACTTGCTGCTCCCTATGTCACTTGGTTACTTTAAACTGTCCTCACTGCTAGATCATTTATAGGACTATCATGTATTGCTGTTTCCTTCAGCAGCCTGTTTATAGAGCAGGAGCCAGGAAGCAAACAACTTATAAATAAAAAGTTAAGCCCAGGATGCAATCCAACCTGAACATCTATAAACTTTATCCACAATTACTAATCTTCCTTAAAATGGTGGAGGATCCTGGCCACTGACCATGATTTTACTAACAGAGTTAGCCCTAACTCCCAAGGCATTTTTATTTTTAAAAAATGCTGCATGAGGATAAATGAGAAAGGGACTACTCACTATCCTTAATCCCAAGAAGAAAGGCAAAAGGACAAGCACAATTAAAATCTCACTGACACACATGTCAAAAATCTTCTATCAACAGACTTTACACTTCCTAGCAGAATAGCTGCACTATTAGTTCATCTTGTCTGAACCTCCACTGAAAGTTTTAAAAACAAATGATCCCGGCTGCTTCCTTTATTTGGCTACGCCACAGAAAGCAGTAGCAAGTACTTTCCTGCTAAGACCACAGCACAAGTTCCTGCACGTAATTCACCCAGCATGATGCAGAAATGAAATTGCAGGGTCAGAGAGAAGTCATATTGCCATTCTTTAGTTAAAATCCAAATTTTAAAAACAGTACTGGCATGGAAAAGATTCTCAGTAATAGAAAGCAATTTCCTATATCCTTTTAACACCAGGTGATAGCCCAAAAATCCATTTCCAAAGAAAATAAAGTCCCAGAATTAGAAAAGATTTCTCCTAAGATCATGGAGACTTGTCACAATAGACAGCTCTGAGTGAGATGAAGCATACTGTATAGTAAGACAGTTTTCTTTTGTTCCAATATGAAAAATGTTCTAAGTAAATATCACAGTGCCTGGGGAACAATGCAATAAATTTTCCATTTGCAAATGATGAAAAATTGAAGGTATACCAAAAGAAACAGCATTCAAAATACCATACAAAGTGATACCTGTGGTTGCATAAGCATATTTCTGCTTACATAACAGCTTTTACCTCCTCCTTTTCCCTACAGCCTCATGCAGTCTGTTGAAATCTGTTTCAAAGAGTCCCTCAGCATTACATAGCAGACTCTGTCAGAGATAGGTTCACAGATGTGTTGTTTAGTTGATAAACAGACCTGTGTAGATGAAATCTGAGGCTTCTATTTTGCTGTACTGGAGGAGACATCTCAACTTATATGCAAGGTTGAGAGCAAATGTAAACATAAAAATACACAGGCAGCCTTCTTCTGGACAAGTGTTTCACAACCTTGGCAACTTTAAGTTTTATGGATTCAGTTCTTAGAATTCCTCATCCAGCATGTTCCAGATCATATTACTATCACTAAAACTACTTCTAGTGAAGCCTTTTGCTGACTTCAAGTGAAGTCAGCAAAAGGACTGTACAGAATTTTAGGCCAGAAGTCATCCACATTCAGAACAGTCAAATAACATGTAGATGGGAAATCCAATAGGATCAAGTCCCAGAACAGGTATCAACAAAATCGATTGCAGAGATAATCAGGATCCAAAACCAACAGATCAACTGATCAATGAAAGACATCTCCCAAAGCCTTACCTTGAGGCAAGAAAATGTTAGGGATGAACCTGCTTTCTGAAAGTCTAGCAAAGAATTAAAAGTATTTCATCCCCAAGATATTAAAGAAAAAGGCTATTCTCATTCAGTGGAATATTGTCCCTTTGGTACAAGCACCTTAATAACAGTCTTTCAAGCCATCAGGTCAACCATCTTTCACATCTGAGACCTTTTTCTTATTCTTAATATTCATGAATGGTGACAAAAAAAAGCAAGCAGCATTTGGATAAAAAGAAATATGGATTAAGGAGAAAGAAAAATACTCTGAAGGCATGCAATAAATATACAAGTTCATAGACGTTATATTTTAGATGCATGACAGATATATATATGTATGTATGTGTGTGTGTATGTGTGTGTGTATGTGTGTGTGTATGTGTGTGTGTATGTGTGTGTG